AGAAATCCCCAGACATCATAGCAGTCACAGAAACAAAACTCGCTGAGACAATAACAGACGCAATCTTCCCATCGGGATATCAGTTCCTGAGAAAAGATAGGAGTAGAGGGGGAGGAGGAGTTGCACTGCTCATAAGAAACCGATGGGGATTTGAGGAAATGGAAGGCATGGACGTGATTGGAGAAAGAGACTACATAGTAGGTACAATTCAGTCTGGAGAACATAGTCATTGGAGTGATGTATAACCCACCACAGAACTGCAGGAGGCCAAGAGAGGAGTACAAAGAAAACAACAGGGCGATGGTGGACACACTGGCTGAGGTGGCAAGAAGAGCTCACTCGAGCAGAGCAAAGTTAATGGTAATGGGCGATTTCAACCACAGGGAGATCGACTGGGAAAACCTGGAGCTACATGGGGGTCCCGAAACATGGAGAGCCAAGATGATGGATGTGGTATCAACATGTCAGGGACACTACCAGAGAGAGAGAGGGGAGGATGAGCCAGCAAGACTGGATCTTGTGTTCACCCTGAGCAATTCAGACATTGAGGACATCACTTACGAGAGGCCCCTTGGAGCTAGTGATCACATGGTTCTGAGTTTTGAAACAGGAACTGAATGGGAAAAGCCAAACTACAAAAGGGGGGACTACACAGGTATGAGTAACTTTCTGCAGGAGGTTCAGTGGGACAGAGACCTGGTAGGAAAATCAGTAAACGAGATGATGGAATATGTAGCAACAAAGTGCAAGGAGGCAGAGGAAAGGTTTGTTCCCAAGGGAAACAGAAATAATAGGAAGACCAAAGCGAGTCCTTGGTTTACCCGAAGGTGTAAGGAGGTAAAAACTAAGTGCACCAGAGAATGGAAAAGGTACAGGAGGCAAAGGACCCAGGAAAATAAGGAGATTAGTAGGAAAGCCAGAAACGAATATGCACAGATAAGGAGGGAGGCCCAGCAACAGTACGAAAACGACATAGCATCGAAAGTCAAGTCTGACCCGAAACTGCTGTATAGCCACATTAGGAGGAAGACAACAGTCAAAGACCAGGTGATAAGGCTGAGGAAAGAAGGTGGAGAACTCACAAGAAACGATCAAGAAGTATGTGACGAGCTCAACATGAGATTTAAGGAAGTATTTACAGTGGAGACAGGAAGGCCTCTCGGGGGACAGACCAGATGGGGACACCAGCAAGGAATATACCAACAAGTGTTGGATGACATACAGATGAGGAGGTGAAGAAACTGCTAAGGGACATCGATACCTCAAAGGCAATGGGACCGGACATCTCCCCGTGGGTCCTTAGAGAGGGAGCGGATATGTTGTGTGTGCCACTTACCACAATCTTCAACACGTCCCTGGAAACTGGGCAACTCCCTGAGGCATGGAAGACGGCAAATGCAGTTCCCATTTTTAAAAAAGGAGACAGAAGAGGCACTAAACTATAGACCTGTGTCACTGACGTGTATAATATGCAAAGTTATGGAGATTATCAGGAGGAGAGTGGTGGAGCACCTGGAACGGAACAAGAGTATAAACGCCAACCAGCATGGATTCATGGAAGGAAAATCCTGTGTCACAAACCTTCTGGAGTTTTATGATAAAGTAACAGAAGTAAGACACGAGAGAGAGGGGTGGGTTGATTGCATCTTCTTGGACTGCAAGAAGGCCTTTAACACAGTTCCTCACAAGAGATTAGTGTAGAAGCTAGAGGATCAGAGAATACCTGACAGGGAGGCAACAACGAGTCATTGTACGTAATGATGTATCACAATGGGCACCTGTGACGAGCGGGGTCCCACAGGGGTCGGTCCTAGGACCAGTGCTCTTTTTGGTATATGTGAACGACATGATGGAAGGGTTACACTTAGAAGTGTCCCTGTTCGCAGACGATGTGAAGTTAATGAGGAGAATTAAATCAGATGAGGATCGGGCAGGACTTCAAAGAAACCTGGACAGACTGGACACCTGGTCCAGCAACTGGCTTCTCGAATTTAATCCCGCCAAATGCAAAGTCATGAAGATAGGGGAAGGGCAAAGAAGACCGCAGACAGAGTATAGGCTAGGTGGCCAAAGACTGCAAACCTCGCTCAAGGAGAAAGATCTTGGAGTGAGTATAACACCGAGCATGTCTCCAGAAGCACACATCAACCAGGTAACTGCTGCTTCATATGGGCGCCTGGCAAACCTGAGAACAGCGTTCCGATACCTTAATAAGGAATCGTTCAAGACACTGTACACCGTGTACGTCAGGCCCATACTGGAGTATGCAGCACCTGTTTGGAACCCGCACTTGATAAAGCACGTCAAGAAACTAGAGAAAGTGCAAAGGTTTGCGACAAGGTTAGTTCCAGAGCTAAGGGGAATGTCTTATGAAGAAAGGTTAAGGGAAATCGGCCTGACGACACTGGAGGACAGGAGGGTCAGGGGAGACATGATAACGACATAAAATACTGCGCGGAATAGACAAGGTGGACAAAGACAGGATGCTCTAGGGAGGGGACACAGAAACAAGAGGCCACAATTGGAAGTTAAAGACACAGATGAGTCAGAGATATTAGGAAGTATTTCTTCAGTCATAGAGTTGTCAGGCAATGGAATAGCCTAGAAAGTGATGTAGTGGAGGCAGAAACCATACATAGTTTTAAGACGAGGTATGATAAAACTCATGGAGCGGGGAGAGAGAGGACCCAGTAGCAACCGGTGAAGAGGCGGGACCAGGAGCTAGGACTTGACCCCTGCAACCACAAATAGGTGAGTACACACACACTCCATCTTGCGGCTCTTCATCCACAACTCCTCCGACTGATCCACCAGGAGGCCTGGTCACAGACCGGGCCGCGGGGGCGTTGAACCCCGGAACTCTCTCCAGATAAACTCCAGGTAAACAAATACATCACTAACACTACTGAACGATACATAATGAGACCTTTTTCAGGTGTTTATCCCCAGATGTGCTAACCAAATCATTTTTTTCCTACAGTTCATCATTGGTAAATAGCACTGTATAACCCATACGGGCTTGCTGCTTTATACTGTACTAATATATGAGCACTGGTAAGTCAAGAGGCCGGTGCTACCATGGCCTGCTAGAGGCATCCTCTACCCCCAGTTTCGTGTCATGGGCAGGTGTTACGCTAGCAGGGGGAGGGTAGAGCACCTATACTAGGGGATGAGAGGTAATCAAGTGTTCAAGTGAGCGTCACCAGCATCAACACTCATCCAAGGCTACACTCTGAGTGTTGGTTTCCATGTAGGCGCATTTTTTCCAGTGACTAGTGATTATTTTAAATGACAAAACTGTATTTTATAAGATTTATGTTCGTGCATTATAAATATGGTAGATACCTCGCTATATTTCAACAACGATAAAAGAGAATAGTGAATATGAGGCAGCTGACCACAAGTACTCTCCTTCCCAGCTACCATGTACGCTAACAATCATGTGTAACTTACTACACTCCAGGCATTGATTCTCTCCAGAAAATTAGTCGCACGAGAAGAGCAAACTACATGTAAAGTTTTCCAAGCACGTCAGTAGTGTGTGTTAGTAATACTGGGGTCGAACTGCTGTCCTTGAAACTGCCAGGTCTCAGCTGTAACCACGCAGTTAAAACCACTCAGTTATAACCACTCATTTTACCCATAGTTATTTTTATTATAAAAAAAATAGTCAAAGCTGAACACCCACACACACAAAATTTCAGAACTGAATTTCAGGGTGGAACACAAGGGTATGAAAATATATCAGTCTGGGGTAACAGGACGAAGTTTATTGAAAAACACTTGAAAATTAATTAATATAACAGTATGTAGTGATAGCTAAGCAGTAAGGGGAACAATTAAAAAAATTAACTTAGAAACTTCTAGGGGTTTCCAAATAAACTCTTCATTTCCCGGGGCTTCCATCTCCACACCCATTATTATTCGACTATTCTGGTCTCTCTTTCCCACGCCATAAAGGGCGTGGCTGACCTTAACAGTCACTGGCGTATACTGAACAATCGCCACTTACACCAACCATACACAACGTGAACCTTCCTCACACTTAGTGCCTAGTGGCGCACATGAGGATGAGAGGGGTGCTTGTGAGTGGTGGTGGTTCTGGTGAAGATGAGAGGGGTGCTTGTGAGTGGTGGTGGTTCAGGTGAAGATGAGAGGGGTGCTTGTGAGTGGTGGTGGTTCTGAAGATGACAGGGGTGCTTGTAAGTGGTGGTGGCTCTGGTGAGGCTTGTAATAATAATCTTTATTTCTACAAGTACATGTACAAGGTATACAGACATAGCTGACATCAGTGACATACTACTATATAGAAAGCCCCTTGTTATACAGAGTATTTCGAGAAAATTGTCAATTTTGTCCCAGGATGCGACCCACACCAGTTGACTAACACCCAGGTACCTATTTTACTGCTAGATGAACATGGACAGCAGGTGTCTTAAGGAAGCACGTCCTATTGTTTCCACCCGTACCGAGGATCGAACCACGAACCTTAATGTGTGAGCTGAGTGGGCTAGAAGATAAAAGTTTTGGAGGTCTGGAGGATGGGTAAGTTTCAGTAGAAATGTGTGTGTGTGATGTCGAAGAGCGATGTTTAAGGGGTGTGAAAAGAAGGTAGGTAAATAGGTGTGTGTGTGTGGAGGGGGGGGTCTGGAGGATATGATTATATATTGGATTGGTGGATGATGCGCTTGGGGTAATGTTAGAGGATGTGGATACGCTGGAGTATTGTATAATATGGAGGTGTATTATAAGTGTTGGAGAAGAGGTAAAGGATGTGTGTGAGTACTGATGTTGGATGTAGCTATGTATGTGTTGCAGGTGTGCTGGCTAATCAGTCGTCACCACTCGCACAATACGCACTGACAGGAGCAGCACCAGCCTCATTTCGTCAATAAACATTGCATCATATGTGATCATTGACAATTCACCTTGTAAACTGAAATACCTCCTTGTGCAATCTTCACTTCTGTACCCGACAATAGGAAAACATCTGCAACGGCTTAGAGTTGAACGAGTCCTCCACGAGTGGGGTTCCTAGCGATGTATATGTCCATGTCGTGGTCAGTACAGCCATCAGTATCGTAACCAGTGAGGGAGTGAGAGGATCCCTCATGACTGTGACGTGATGTAGTGCGCTCGCGAGACTTGGACCTCTGACGGCGTCGATCGTTGCGGTAGGATGTGGCCCTCGTGAATCTTCCAGTAGTGGTGGAGTTAGAAGCACCCATTCCGTAGTCGCTGGGGTTCACAGGAAGAGATCCTAGCCTCCCAACACCGAACTGAGGAGCCGCAAGTGACTGACGCGACATGCTGAGGTCTGCAGGGAAAATTTTACAGAAATATATTTCAATAGCAATTATAACGCAGATTATATTAAACACTACACCAACTGGTTCAAACTTACACCCAAATTAATATAGGCCAACACTGGCTTACACCTACACCTAAACTAGTCTACATATAATGCAGGTTAATGTGGATGTAGGTATGGCTTTTATATCCTAGCAAAACCATGATGACTATTGTAATATCAATTTACAAAATGGTAGTTCCTTAGCCACAAATTACCACCATGCTACCCTGTTTTAATAGTTGGCAAAATAATGTACTGACATTTTGCCTATTATTAGTATCGATATATTTGAAACAATGAGAACTTAATTAAAAAACCAAGTTCTTTATCTGAATGTCAGTTTAGTTTAATATGTTTATTATGCACCCCATACCCATCCAGTGGGCGGTAGTCAAAAGATTACAGAGGTACATAATGGGTCCAGGGACTGGGCCTCAAAGTTTTGATAGCTGAGCAAGTTACAGAGGTAATGAATTCACAATTTACAAAGGTAATGAACTCACAATTTACAAAGGTAATGAACTCCAGGTAGGTCTAGTCACAATCATGACAAGTTACAAAGGTATTTACAGATTACAGAGGTACACAATGGGTGTACCTCTGTAATCTGTAAATACCTTCGAGGCCCAGTCCCTGGACCCATTATGTACCTCTGTAATCTTTTGACTACCGCCCACAGGATGGGTATGGGGTGCATAATAAACATATTAAACTAAACTGACATTCAGATAAAGAACTTGGTTTTTTAATTAAGTTCTCATTGTTTCAAATATATCGATACTAATAATAGGCAGCAAAACCATTAGATTAAAGAGCAGTTGACCGATAGGCAACAAAGTTTAAATAAATGACCGAGCCGGATAAATTAATGCTTACGGTCAGATTTGATAAATAAGACGTGTGTAACACATGGGTATCTTTATAGAGACGATTAGCCTGCACGACAGTGTTTATTAACGTGGTTGTGCAAGACAGGTATACAATACTGGCAAGATGAAAGTTAGATATTTGTGCAACATCTGGTTATCTTTATTGTAGACGTTTCGCCATCCAGTGGCTTTATCAATACAGATTCTTGGACATAATTAGAAAACAGAAGAACAGTGTTCCCATCTACACATCACGTAGGTGTCAGGCTTCACCCTCACTACTACATCACGTGGTGTGTCAGGATTCACCCTCACTACTACATCACGTGGTGTGTCAGGATTCACCCTCACTACTCCATCACGTGGTGTGTCAGGATTCACCCTCACTACTCCATCACGTGGTGTGTCAGTATTCACCCTCACTACTCCATCACGTGGTGTGTCAGGATTCACCCTCACTACTCCATCACGTGGTGTGTCAGGATTCACCCTCACTACTCCATCACGTGGTGTGTCAGGATTCACCCTCACTACTCCATCACGTGGTGTGTCAGGATTCACCCTCACTACTACATCACGTGGTGTGTCAGGATTCACCCTCACTACTCCATCACGTGGTGTGTCAAGATTCACCCTCACTACTACATCACGTGGTTTGTCAGGATTCACCTCACTACTCCAAGTGGTTCCTGTGTCAGGATTCACCCTCACTACAATCACGGTGGCCTAATGTGTCAGGTTCACCTCACTACTACATCACGTGGGTGTGCACTGTCAGGATTCACCCTCACTACTACATCACGTTGTTTGTAGGATTCCCATCACTACTCCATCACCGTGGCTTTTTTTGTTTTTGTCAGGATTTCACCCACACTACTACTCACGTGGTGTGTCAGGATTCACCCTCATGCTACATCTCGTGTGTCAGGTTCACCCTCACTACTACTATCACGTGGTGTCAGATTCACCCTCACTTACTACATACGTGTGTCAGGATTCACCTCAACCTACTACATCACGTGGTGTCTGGATTCACCCTCACTACTACATCACGTGGTGTCAGGATTCACCCTCACTACTACATCACGTGGTGTCAGGATTCACCCTCACTACTACATCACGTGGTGTGTCAGGCTTCACCCTCACTACTACATCACGTGGTGTGTCAGGCTTCACCCTCACTACTACATCACGTGGTGTGTCAGGATTCACCCTCACTACTACATCACGTGGTGTCAGGCTTCACCCTCACTACTACATCACGTGGTGTGTCAGGCTTCACCCTCACTACTACATCACGACACACCACCTGGCATTATGCCTACATATGCTTTTATTCTTGACTATCTGTATGTTAGAAATGATCAGGTTCCCAGAAACGAAATATATTCTAATAAATTTATAGGAGGGAATCTGTCTTCCTTTTTCAACATCACTTGCTTGGTTCTATTACAAGGTTTATACCTGTTTAAAATTGAGAAAATATTGTCCTTAGCAAGGTAAATGAATATTCTCTACACTCGAAACTAAATAGGATGAAATATGAAGATAATGCAACAATGCATAACAGTTTGAAATAAAACTTATGGATTGTACTTATCCATATAAAGTAAATAATAAAATCCCCAGGTCTTATACAAAGATTATGAAAATATAATTTTTTTGTGATATCTGTACGTAATCAACTTCTTACAAGGCCATGTAATGCCTATACTTTTGTTTGCCCACAGAATGATTAATTCCTCATCGAAGTATGAATGAAGACATTAAATTACCGTGACAATGGTGCTGCGTATTACCTAGGATAGAATCCCAGTTTCTGGCAGACGAAAATATCACCAGGAATAGTACTAAGCCTAGGTTTGAAAATACAGAACTCTATACACCTTGTGGAAATTTATTTGGTCTCCCAAAAATTCCAAAGGGGGGGACGGGTTTGACGGTATGAGCTTTGGGAGCCCTCACAACCACCCAAACAAAACACTAGTTGGCGGAGGCAGTGAGAATACAAGTACTGACTGATATATTTACCCTTCAGGGAAGGTTTAGGTAGGATTATACTATTAGTAATATTAAAATTAGTGAGGTAACCTTAGATATTATTAATGTAGCCTTAGACCTTAATATAGGCGATACTCAGGTTACTATTTAGATAAGGTGAAGCTAGAACCCAGCTGACGCAGGCAGAAGCGGGTCTGGCAGACGATTTCAATTTCATGTTTATTCTCTTTAAGATAAGATAAGATAAGATTTTGTTCGGCATTTTTTTACTGGAGGATTAGCCACCCAGGATAACCCAAGGAAAGTTCAGTGCGTCATCGAGGACTGTCTAACTCTATTTTCCGTTGGGGGTCCTTAATCGTGTCCCACCAGGATGACGAACCCGCACCAGTCGACTAACAACCAGGGTACCTATTTGCTGCTAGGTGATCAGGACAACAGGTGTAAAGGAAAACGTGTCGAATTTCACCCGCGGGAATCGAACCCGGGCCTCGTGTGTGAAGCGGGAGCTTTAGCCACCAGACCACAATGTGGGGTTTACAGGTTTTGGGTATTTTGTGGTTTTACATGTTATAAAAATACTAATTACAGGAGGGGGCCACTAGGACAACCCTAGGCATGGTAGGCATTTCGAGCAGGACTTAATACGTTAAATCTTTACAGATTATGGTTTTAAGGCTAAAGTGGTCTACATTATAATTTGTGAGTTTTGCATGTGAATTATTTTGTTCGGCACAATACAAGGTGTTTTCCCTTCTACACCGCAAAAAAGGGGGGTTCAGTGTTCCCATTAATTAGCAAGGTTCAAGTGTTCCCATCTACATCTAGCATGGTTCAGCGTTCCCATCTACACCTAGAAAGGTTCAATGTTCCCATCTACACCCATCAAGGTCAGTGTTCCCATCTACACCCAGCAAGGTTCAGTGTTCTCATCTACACCTAGCAAGGTTCAGTGTTCTCATCTATACATAGCAAGGTTCAGTGTTCCAATCTACACCTAGCAAGGTTCAGTGTTCCCATCTACACCCAGCAAGGTTCAGTGTTCCCATCTACACCCAGCAAGGTTCAGTGTTCCATCTACACAAAGAAAGGTTCCGTGTTCCCATCTACACCCAGCATGGTTCAGAGTTCCCATCTACACCCAGCAAGGTTCAGTGTTCCCATCTACACCCAGAAAGGTTCAGTGTTCCACCATGTACAACCAAGCAAGTTCAGCGTTCCCATCTACACCCAGAAAGGTTCAGCGGTCTCATCTACACCTAGCAAGGTTCAGTGTTCCCATCTACACCTAGCAAGGTTCAGTGTTCCCATCTACACCCAGCAAGGTCAGTGTTCCCATCTACACCCAGCAAGGTTCAGTGTTCCAATCTATACCTAGCTAGGTTCAGTGTTCCCATCTACACCTAGCAAGGTTCAATGTTCCCATCGACACAAAGAAATTTCAGTTGCTTTCCTTCTTACACCCACAGGTTCTGTGTTCCCTCTACACCTAGCAAAGTTCAGTGTTCCCATCTACACCCAGAAAGGTTCAGTGTTCCCATGTACACCAAGCAAGGTTCAGCGTTCCCATCTACACCCAGAAAAGTTCAGCGTTCCCATCTACACCTAGCAAGGTTCAGTGCTCCCATCTACACCCAGCAAAGTTCGGTGTTCCCATCTACACCTAGCAAGGTTTCAGTGTTCCATCTACACCCCAGCAAAGTTCGGTGGTTCCATCTACACCTTAGCCAAGTTCAGTGTTCCCCAACTACACTCAGCCAAGGTTCAGTGTTCCCATCTACACCCAGCAAGGTTCAGTATTCCCCTCTACCACTCAGCATGTTCCAGCCTGTACATCACGATCAGCAAAGGTTCAGTGTTCACATTCTACACTCAGCAAAGGTTCCAGTGTTCCCAAGTACACTCAGCAAGGTTCAGTGTTCCCATCTACACCCTGCAAGGTTCAGTGTTTCCAATCTACACCCAGCAAGGTTCAGTCGTTTCCCATGTACGACCCTGCACAGTTTCAGTGTTTCACCATCTACACCCAATAAGGTCAGTGTATCCCATCTACACCCAGCAAGGTTCAGTGTTCCCATTACACCCAGCAAGGTT